CCCGCCACGGCTCCCCGCCCGCTGCCGCTGCTTAGCGGGAGAAACCCGGCGCTTCCCCCCTTTCTGCTCAGCTGCTGCTCGGGATAACGAGGAGCCGCGCTCGGCTTAGCCCGAGGTAGGTGCACGGCGCGCAAGCGAGCCCCCAGCTCCTAGCGGCGTTATGTAACTAACGCAGAATTGCTGAAAAAAGTACCTGCCCGTCATGTTTGTTTGGTTCGTGGTATCAGAAATGACCGAGCCACAAGTGTAAGCGGTGCCTGGGGGCAGCTAGCGCACCCGGCTAGCTGCCCAGCACCAGCAGCTTGAAATAAGCAATTGCTCCCTGCAAGGTGGAAAAATGGCTTATTCTGGAAGGAGACCTCCCCTTCCCCCCCCGCCAAGAGTCAGCCGAAATGAAAGTAGCTCTGTGGGCTTGTGTGTTTGAAAGGAGGGAGGTGAGTGGGCTGTGGGTTGATGTGGGGAAGGTAGGGCGCAGGGCCCCTGCACAACTGCAAAGGAGCATGTCGAGACAAAGACTGCTTGGTGTGCAGCATACTTGGAGCAGTCACTTGTTTCGGAGGCCTATTTTGGCAAGTTGTATCTGACAGAAAAATCCATCTTATGTCAGTGTGGCTGTGGTAATGAATGCTGTTCAGCAATACTAGGAGGAGCATACAAAGATATCTAATTTTGTTTATCTGGCAAAGTACATCAGGAAAGTCCCTGCAAATAAATACTGTGAACTCTGAAGGAGGAGCTTAGCTGTAGATTGAAAGCAGAGAATTTTCTAGTATTGACACAATCCCGTGTGTGTACCTCCATATGCACTTGTGCATTTCTGATGTCTTTTTTTCCTCTGTATTACCAATTAATCTCCTACCACTCTCTGCTTTAGAGAAACATTTGCACCAATCTGCTGAAGTACACCACACTGATTTTTATTTTTTTCCCCCCACATCACTGAAAATACATTATCTAGCTAAGCAGAGAAAGAATGTTTTCCAGCATTTGGGTACATCAATAGATGAAAACAGCCACATTGTTTATTTTGGAGTAAGGAAACTTCGTCTGCACTTAACATTAGACTCTTTCTGGAAGGCCAGTCAGTGTATGAATCTTACAGAAACATGTATTAATTCTTCAGAATTGGGTGGTGACAGAATTCCTTCTGTATTTCTTTTCCCCTGTGAAAATACTAAATTTTCAGCTGACTTATACACATATCGTTGTTCAAAAACCCAAACAGGGAGGAAAAACGTTAAAGAAATCTGAAGATGAGCGCCCACACGCAAACTGCAGAGAAAGGACAGAACACAACACTCCTGTGCCAGGAAAGCTACGTTTGCAGTGGGACAGATGAAGCAATCTTTGAGTGTGACGAATGCGGGAGCCTACAGTGTCAGCGGTGTGAAGAAGAGCTGCATCAGCAGGAAAGGTTACGGAACCATGAACGGACCCGTATAAGACCTGGCCATGTTCCTTACTGTGACTCCTGCAAAGGTGCCAATGGGAACATAATGCACACCAGTATGACAGGATCTAGGCAGAGAGCAGCAGTGAGGTGCCAGGTGTGCAAAATCAACCTCTGTGTGGAGTGTCAGAAGAGAACACATGCTGGGGGGAACAAAAGGAAGCATCCCATCACTGTGTACCATGCTGGCAAAGCCCAAGAGCAGGAGGAGGAGGAAATGGATGAGGAGACCAGGAGAAGGAAAATGACAGAGAAAGTTGTCAGTTTCCTCTTAGTGGATGAAACTGAGGAGATTCAGGTAAGAACTACTGTGGTTTATTTGAATGGGCAAGATATCCCTAGCTTCTGTGTTAATCACACCTCATAATAGTCTGTTAGACTAAACTAATAGTGTAGCAGACAGCAACAGTAACAAATTGAGGATAGTCTGTTCCTGGCACTGAATGAATATCTTGGGCCAAAAAGACCCTGGTGCCTAGGAATGGCCTTGCTCATGAGATCATCAAAAGGTCAAAACCTTATGTGTGGCAAGAGCCTCCTCTAAGAAGCTTGGTAAGTGGAGCTGGTGAAAGAATTGACTGTACTGAGATGCATGCAATGAAGATAAGCGCTCTCTGTACAGGATGCTGATCATTCCTGAACAAAACTGAACTGAGAGGATTCCAGTAGATATCCTGCAAATGGGAGTGCTGGCAGCCAATCTCTTACCATATGACTAGGAGTGGGCACTGTACCAAGCAGTACTACAGCCCCCTGTTACTCTCCTTTAGCACCAGTAAATCTGTCTGATTTTTAGGAGTGGGATAAAGTAGAAATAGCTGTCCTATAAGGAGTCTTGATGTGTGCCATCCAAGTCCTACAGACACCACGATTAAGCTATATTGCTAGTCACAGGTATTATTCCAAGTTAGCTTTTTCCTGAATGAGGGGCAGACCGGCCATCAGTTTGGGGTAGGCCTGCCAATAATAATGATAAAAGTACTCATTGGCTACAAACAGCTGCTTAGGAGAAATTATTTTACAGAGGCTAGTGTGCAATACTTGCAGTTACTTAACTCTTCTGTTGGCCTTTATGCTTGGTAAGCATAAGCACTTTACAAAAGGCAAAGAATCCCTGTTTTTATAGATGAGAAGAACAGAAATATAAAAATGCCATGTGTGGAAGTCACAGAGCAGGTTACAGAATCGTTTAGGTTGGAAGGAACCTCTGGAGATCATCTAGTCCAACCTCCCTGCTCAAGCAGGGTCCTCTAGAGCATATTTCCCAGGATCACATCCAGACGGGTTTTGAATACCTCCAGCGAAGGAGACTCCACTGCCTCTCTGGGCAACCTGTTCCAATGCTCTGTCACCCTCACAGTGAAGAAGTTTTTCCTCAGGTTTAGGTGGAACTTTCTGTGGTTCAGGTTAGTAGCACAACTAAAAATTTAACCTCATCTTCTGACTTCCAGTTTGCATCCTACATGTTAAACCTCATCCAGCAGACATTGAAAGAAAATGTGTGGTCACTTGGAGACTCAGTGTCTGGTTGCTCTAATTTAATGTTCATGCTACTAGCGGTAAAAGAATTGCGATGATATCCTCGTTGTTGGTAGGCTAGTCATTTGCATCCATCGTATTAACAGCTAATGTGTCTGTCTTGCCAATACTGTAGAAAAGATGCAAGATACTTGTCACGTTTTGGTCAGTTCAAGTACGCTGACTTAAAGTCGCGTGGCTTTTGGAGGAGGAAGGGAGGAAAGGATGATAGTCCTTAGGATGTGCTGACATAGGAAACACACAATCCACCTACAGGACAACAGTGACTGTAAATTGAGTGAGTGACTGAGTTTCAGGTTTAGTAGCAGTCCTAAATTTGTCTGCGTCCCTCAAGTGTACACATTTCCTCATAATACATGGAAGGTGCAACTCTTACTCTTAAGTTGCAGGCTTTTCAATAATCTTTATCTGGCCACTGGAGCAAATTCTGAAATGCCTTAGCACAGGGCTGTCCTGCAAAGCTGCTTGCAAACTGTGGTTTCATGTGGTTGTGCTGTCGTAAGTTACCTTTATACTCATGAATCTGTAATCGTTATTGAGGCAGACTTCTGCTCTTGCAAGCAAGTGCTTAACTAAAATGTCATGGGCAGTGAAGCCAACCTTCTTATGGGAACAGCAACTGTACTCTATTGGATTATAACAGTTTGATCAGAACAGAGTTGAAAAAGCTCTCTGAAAATGATCCTTGCTGCTTATCAAGATGCTGAATCAGAGTTCCTCCATCCGGAGTGATCTTCTCTTTCTCATAGCTGAATACTTATGTGACATCTCACAGCCAGTCTCGGAGCAGTTTGAGAGTTCTCAATCAAAATATTTTCTAGCAGCTGGAACTTGAAGAGTGCTTGCTGCTTTGGTGAGTTTCTGTTAGTGAGTATGAGGACCTTTATTTAGAGAGGGTTGGCAGTTGACTAGCTCTGTAGACATCTTCTATAGCATCTTTTGCTTTTGATAATGTTGAATAGCCAATATAGCTGTAGGAAAGTGCTCTTAAGTCTTTTCTTTTGTGCTTATCATTAGAGAGATGATTACTGATTACTTAGGGAGAAATCTTTGGGATGTTCTTTATTTAAATATAAACACTTTCTTCAAGATGCTGAAACTGTAATAACCTGAAATGTGGAGATTCAGGGTCGTGTGTGTGTCTTTAATATATTTTTAAACCTTCTTTGACCACCTGTTTTTCATCTTTGAAACATGAAGATTGTTGCATTAATTTGGAAATAAGAGGGAACTGCTGATCTATCAGTGGCAGAATCTGCCATAGCAGTGATAAATGCTATTCCTACAAAATTAGGCAGAACAAGTTAAACTGCTGAGCAAACATGACACTAAATGCTGAGTGGAGGTACTTGCTGATATGTACAGGTTTACTGTCCTCTACTTGAAAGTAATTCAGTGAGGCAAGAATTAAGGGCAGAGAGATTTCAATTTGTTTCTCCTTTGAAACTCGGAGTTGTTAAGCACAAGTGGGTGTCTCCCATCTCATTGATCCTGTTGGCTTCCAGAAGCTGGTAGTTCTGAAACTCAGGGACATGTTTATAGTGTGGAAGCAATGACTGAGCTAGCAGATTCAGAAGCAGTATAGTTTCATCTGTGAGGAGCTGTGCCTGAGCAACAGGCTGAGAGGCAGAGATTGTTAGCTGGGGCTCAGCATTGCACTAATACAGCTATAAGAATTCTGAGATCTGCATAGTTGTCTTCTGTCATGTTGCACAGATGTACTGGCCTGCTCAGAGCTAGCTTGGAGCTTTTTGCACTTTGCAGACATGTCCTCAGCTTTCTGAGCTTATGGCTTGCTTGTGCTTGTTTCAAATCCACTTAGTCAGGAAAGGTCCCATTTTAAAGAACTATGTGTAAAACAGTTGTTTGCAGAGGAGTGGCAGTAGCTTAAGTTTGTCCCTGTGAAGTGCAGGTTTCTGTGATGTTCATCAAAACAGTGCTGTATCTGCGCATTTCAAAATGATTATTTTGTGTTAAGAAGAGGTTGTGACACGTTAAATTCAAAGTCATGCTGCATATCTATGGAAGAACCAGAGACAGAGGTTGTTCCTCATGGAGTACGATCCCTACTGTCTCACGCACCGTATAGCATGGCCCTTGGTGACTCTTGCGACTCAGTCCCCAGCCGTCTTGACTTACACTACAAGTTTTCCTTTCTACCTTCCAGGACTGATGTCCCCCATAAGACCTTGCTGACTACTTCTATGAGAAAACAAATCTTCTCCGTGTTTTACAGACTGGCATCACCAGCAGTGTAGACCCTGTTCTACATCCTTTTTCTCAGGCTGTATTATGTTTTTGCAGTTTCTCTTTACACAACATTAAACTCATGGCCTTATCTATCACATATCTAAAGCTGAGTCTTCAATTAAATAGTTCTTGATACCTGCAGCATCTCTTTGTTAATTGCCTTTGACACGTTTCATCTTCCATCCTACCTTTACTCGGAATGATTTTGTGACTATTATTTCCTGAGCCAATTGCTTTGATTTTGTTGCTGCTCTCTTTACATCTTGTACATCTCGTCTTTGCCATGTTAGATTCAAGCTGGGTGTCGTCTTTTTTTCTACGTGTAAATCCCCCAGCTGCACCTCCTGATCTGCTCTGTCAAGATGTCAGCTTTTCTTTCCTATCTTTAACTTGTTGAACTTTCAAAAAGGCTGCTCTTCCACGTGGGAGGCACTTCACATACATGAATTAATTCTGTAAGTTCCTATCTCATTTAAAATGCTGCTTTACACTCAGATCTATTTAAAAATATAGCAAAAACCCAACAAAACTGGATTGAGGTTAGAGTTGTTCTGAGTTCTGATGTTGTCTCACTGTCTCTTGAATTTTCTGCTGGTCTGTAGCTGTCTCTTCCTTGTACTTACATGTATGCAGTCTCTGGAACGGGAACCATTTTTGCTTGGTCTTTATGAAACACCTTCACAATAGGGATCTTTACCAGAAAGCAGAGTTATGTATCAGTTATACAGTCAATTCTATTTACTGCTACTTCTGACACAGGAGAGAAGACATACTTAATGAGGCATAACAGCAAGTTTGATATTTTTATCTTAGGGAGCAGATGTTGAGAGTTCTTACCACAAGATCTGAACTTGCTTGTAGTCTCACCAGTGGCTTCTACGATAACGCTTTGTCCAAAGCTACAATTAAGGAAACTCAGCATATATAGTCTATAAAAGTAGAGAAAGTCTTTCCTTGACTCCAGTGGATAGGGGACATGCTTGATCATTATTAGTTTGCCTTAAAGAGTTCACTGATCTTTGACCAGGAACTAGCTCCGTCATAAGAAATTACCCAATCTCTGTTTAGAGCATTTGAAGGTACTGATAAAAGGTACTGACTTAGTAGCCAGTCTCTTAGCAAGGAAGCAGGAAGAAAGTTTTTGTTTTTCTGCAGCTAGTCACTGTATAAAAATAGTATCCCCAACAGTATAACTGTATATGGGAGAAAGGAGCATCCTTTCATTTCTAGGTCTCCTCTGAGGCACCCACAGTGAGCAGTCTTTCAGTTGGCATTTTTTTCCCATTAGTGTTTTTTTTAGACATCTCCATCTCCTAAATCCAGCCCCATTCATTTAGTTCTTTATATTCCTTGTAGCAGGGTTAGATACCTAAAGGATTAAGCGCTTTGCCTCAGAAAATACTGAGCAGGATCTCTATAATGTTGTGCAATCAATTTACATGACACAGAATGGTCTGTCGCCCTTATTTAAATGCTAGCCATTTTATACAATCATTAAATAACCAGCCT